ATTCTTCATCGCTTGAGCTTGAATCGGAAACAAAGAACATTTTTGCGCAAAAATATTCAATATAATAATAATCACACAGATCTAAAGAACGTAACCTTTTAAATAAAAATTGTAAACAACATGAAACAGCTGATGCAAAAATGACAAAGATGGTATTTCCTACATTAATTTATCGATAAATTGTCGACGTCGTCTCAACACGTTTAGTCAGTACCGATTCTGCGTCGATGTGATGTCGACGTCGACACGAAGTGATGTCGACTGAAAAACGACGACGATGTCGACGACGCCAACCGTAATAGGGGGGATTATTACGAAAGTACATATGTATAGAGCGTGTCAGATGTGGCAATATTTCCAACTTTTCCACGCAATTCGCTTCCAAATTGAGAAAGATAAATTTTATTTCGAAGTGGGAACAGCCAGAAAGACCTTTCTGTCACATTTCGGAAATCAGTTTCAGAAATAAAAGTTGCAAGATGCGACTACAATTGAGAGAACGCAAATCGATTTCGGAAATATATTTCAACTTGCTCGTGCTGCATTAGCAATCGGAAATAAAAAAAAAAAACTTTCGAAAGACACTTTACATGCAATTTCTCAATTTGACAGCCTTTCCGCATATATACTTCCACGTCTGACAGGCTCTTTTGTATCGCTATGATTTTCGTATTTGCTTCTCTACCCTCCCCGGGACATGATTTTTTTATTAGATCGATATATGCATTCATCACCGTTATGCGCTTATTCGTAATAATTAAAAAAATACAAATTTAACCAAAGTAACAAATAAATCAACATACGTGAACACCCTTTAAAAGATGTCATCGCCAGTGCTCGGATTAAACGAAATTTTTTGTGTTATATGGAAAAAATTTGGTACATTTGAAAAGAATATAGTAGACCTCAGTTTAAAATTACCTGGTTTATTATGGCTGCGTTTCTTTATACATTCCGGATAATCCGATTTCACAGCCGGAATAAACAGAATGCGTTTGAAATATACGTCAACATATCATCAGGAATGTTCTAAAGAATAAATAAACAAAAAAGTTTATTCCAAACGTTCAGAATGAATAAAGAAATGCAGCCTATATGTTTTTTTGTATGTTTTACTAAACATAAAATATAATAGTGTGGAACAAATTAATCATGATAAAAACATTATGTTAAGTCGCGACATTTGAACCAATTTTGACTACTTTTCTTTTGTTTGTTTGATATTTATTAATTTTGTATGAAAGTTTACTTCATTATCTAACAAAAGCTTAAATTTTGAAAAATTTTCTACTCGAATATGGGGCATTACTCCGAGCACTGGTCGTCGGGCCTAAATCAGCAATCGCTATTGTGAATCTGCGAAAATAATGATCAAAACAAAACTCCCAAGCACACAATTGTGACCAACACGAAAAAAATTGATTAATTTTTTATTACGAGAAAATTCAGCAAACATCATTTTATTTGAAAATAATTTAATACTTACGACTGATAAACGCTAGGGATTGTCATCAATCTTCTAAATCATACATCGAAACAAATATGTCACTCGCACGCGTACCTCAGCTGCGTATTGTACAGCGGGATCTGAAATGTCGACAGGGATGCGGATATTATGGAAATGCTCAATTCGACGGACTCTGCTCCAAATGTTTTCGCGAACGTAACGAAAAAAGAAAGAAAGGTAAGTTGCAGCTATACAATGTAATTAATAGTAATGTTAATAATATTGCTAAAGCCGAACAAAAAGCAGCCACACCTACTACAAATGCTCCAGCTGCTGCCACTTTTAGCAGTGGAGCTGGACGTTTGTCACCACAAAATCTCTTGGGTCGTTCACTAAATAAACGACAGGAAAGTATGCCAGAAATTTCGACTGGCACTCTTACAAAGAAGAAATCTCTAGTGCCTGCCGTATTTCAAAAAACATTACAATCGAGTACACAAAAGAGCAAAAAATTAAAGCAAGAGGGTAAGATAAATATCACGAAAGAAATCTGGGCCAATCAATTAATTGTCATCGTTTTTAACAGCAACAGGGCAGAGGTCATATGTTCCAGATCCTACCGAGAGTCAGTTCATGCTTCAATTGCGTCAATTACGCATACCGGACGATGGCAAACGTAAATTGAAGAGCGAGATACAACGTTTGGATAATGCCATTAGAAGCTATATGAACAATAATGCTAACAAGAATATAGACGAGCTTTCAGAAATGGTGCAAAATGCATATACTAAGCTCGCAGATATTGTGCACAATGATCAGCGTTTTCAAATTGCTACCAATGAAGATCGCGAAAGTGCTATAGATTTCTTTGAAAAAGTTGTCATGACACAAAATCACAAGTAAATATCTATCTACTTTGTTCAAACTAAATTAAGTGATTACTATCATAATTTGCTGTTTCGATAGATTTCTCTTTAGTCCGTATTTTACACCCGATGAAGAAAACGATGTGAAAATCCAAAAACGGATACGTCAACTTAGTTGGATAACGGCGAAACATTTGGTATGTAGTATTGACGAAGTTAATGCAGAATCCCGTGATCTAGTTTACAATGCCATAACTGGTACGTATGCTTACACAAAACATATACTATGTAAACATATTAAATATTCCATTTCATTTATAGAGCTAGTAGGAATCGATTCTTATTACTCGCCTCAAGAAAAACTTGAATGCACAGTACGTTGCTGTCGTCATATCTTCGAATTGCTTAAACATTCAGTTGGGGGGCCCGCAAGTGCCGATGAATTTCTACCCGCGCTTATTTTCGTCGTCCTCAAAGCAAATCCAGTACGACTACATAGTAATGTAAATTTTGTTACGCGCTTTACTAACGCATCAAGACTAATGAGCGGCGAAGGGGGCTATTACTTTACAAATCTGGTAAGTAAAAAAATCTTTAATTAATAACATCAGTCCAAATGTATACATAAATAAACCTTTTATACCTAGTGCTGCGCAATCTCGTTTATTGAGAACTTAAACGGCGAAAGTCTGGGCATCTCGGAAGAAGAGTTTGACTCGCTTATGTCAGGCGACAAAGCATTTAGTACACCTTGGGAAAGTGCTTTGCTGGCGTGTGAGGGTTTACATTTAATATCCGAAAATATGAAGCGTATGGAGTCTTTGAAGAAACGCAACAGCAGTATCGCAGCTGGTATAGAAAATTTCCGTAGAGACCTTGAAGAATTCCAGGTATATATTTGGCCGTCGTCTGATATCTCAAATTTGTTTAGATTTTACGTACGTTTTTCGTTATATTTTTTAGCGCGAAATCAGCGATAAAGTGGACGCATGTATTTCCAAAGCCCCGCTAACAATCCTGCCCATAAAAACGCCATCTCATCTAATCAGTAAAGCACGCGCACATCTTTCCAATGAAAGTGAAGTATCCGCATCGCTGGGACATTATAACGCTAATTTGATCGCAGCTATTAGAGCCAAAAGTCAACCATCCAAAGACATTGCAGAAAAATGCCTTCCTATTCCCCTATCGTCTACAAATACACTGGAAGAAGCTACTATAGAAGACGCTGCCCACACATTGGCGCTTAAGGACACCAGTATTACTTCAGTGGGCCGTTTGTCACCTCTACCACAGGCACAGCCAAATGCAGATTTACTATTTACGTCCCCTATTTTCAACTATACACCTTTTGATGCAGTTTCACTGCTAGATGATCACTCTGACTCCACTGATGATTTTGTACTCAATACTGATCTGCGAGGCGGGCTTACGAATGTAAATTATGACTTTGACTTGTCTGATCATAGTGCAGAAAATAGTGTCGCCGAGGACTTGAAGCTTAACTTGGAAGAGTTCGATCCCCTTGCTCAAAAGCCAGAAGAAGAACCAGGGACCGTAATATCAACAGATTTAAAAACACCAGATAACAATATTAGTTTATTGGACAGCGATTCACCAACAAATGGAACATTGCTGCCATCTCCACTCAAGCCTACTGTTACTGATTACCGTGGTTTCTCTCGTTTCGAAATTCCTTCGATTTCGTGCAATACCGGAGACTTCGCATCACTCAATCATTCAATAAATGAACAGATTGATAATTCTGGACCACCAAGCGTATTATCTGAAAAGGGATTTAAGATTTAAGCTTCGGAGTAGTTTGCAGTGTAACCATTGGTGATGCAGGCATTAATGCTTCTAACCATCATACATTTATATATAAAAGTAAGCGGATAGAATGCTTTCGACATATGAAAATAAAAGGCTAAAGGAGGAACTGTTTTTATAAAGAACTTAGTAAAATGTAGCGAATTATTTAGATTATAATGATAATCCGGAAATAGTTACATAATCATGCATCCGTTTCCTGAAAATAGGTTCACTGAGTTTTTTTTTATGTTCGATACCTGTGTGTAAGTACTTGGTAAATATCGGGTATAAGGTGCAAGAATAGGTAGATTTACTTGTTTGTAAAAATGATGCAACTTCAAATGGGAAGTTCCTTCTGAATGTCGTAAATATCAGAATGGAGAACTTCCTAGATATACTTTGCGAAGCATCAGGGCTTGAATCCCGTAACTTTGAAACGATAGTCGTTCAAACGATACTGACAAAACGATGTTGTCAAAACACTGATTTATGCATTTGTGTTGCTGTTACTTGTTACTGTTACTGTTACGTGAAGCAAAACTCGAATCGAGTTGACGATATCGCACAAACGATCAAGCAATTTTTGATTTTTATGAAGCAAGACAATCTCGACACGATATCGTTCAGACGATTGTCGTCATATGTGATTCATGCCCTGTATTCTCTTCGATATATCGCATATATCACTCCAAAAAAATAGTTCCAAAAATGCATCACTGATTGTGAATGCTGACAAACGAACTGCAGCAGTGTTGCCATTTGAGCCGTTTTCCGGCTAGATTTAGCCGGTTGCGATAGCAAACAGCCGGAGAAATTTCGATTTAGCCGGCAGCCGATTTGTTAGCCGTTTTGCAGAAAAAATTAGCCGTTTTTAGCCGATTTTGCTATTTCGCCTTGTTTTTTTAAAATTCAAATATGTATATATGTTTCCATTTTTGACTAAGCGACCCAAAATCTGTTAGAAATGGCTACTAGCCTTATCGTTGAGAACATTTTCATGCCAGGCAGGGTTGTATGAAATTGTGCCGATTTCGCTTATTTTTTTTTAAACGAAGAAGGGATTTTCTTCATAAAATGTTTGTTATAAATGTCTTAATTTTAAGTGTGAAGTTTTATTCGCAAACTTAGAAAATAAGAAATTGTTTCACTGTTAAGACACTCAAGATGCGTTTGTGTTTGGATATAATGCCAACAAACAGAATAAATATTACATGCAGATATTGTCTTCCCAGATAGTGCATATTCAATTCTGCCTAAATTACAAAACATCATTTTTGCCCACTCCCAAAGGTTTAAGGTAAGGGAAAAATTGATATTTTCAAGCACAATGTACATACACATATGTATTTTTTTAAACAAACTTTTTTGCTGAGAACTTATTTAAATTCCATAAACCGAATGCCGGCTTGAATTAAAGGAACCAATACTGAAGTGAGTCAAAATGAAAATAAAAGAGCACAAATTTCTATGTAAAGCAAAACTCTCTGGGAATCCTACGAGACATCTGCCGGTCGTGTGACCGGTCATCTAAATGGGAGATCTGCAGTCTTTTGGCATCATATTTTACATCAGAATTGAAGGGATTTCTGAAAAATCTGACCAGTTCTTTTGTGTAACTGTGATTTTGCATCCCTTGTCAACATATGGCCTCGGTTGATGTTAACTTAAGGTCGTTGTTTTACTGCCTTAAAATTGAAGGGAAATTTTTACAGAGTTTTTTATGTGTATTGGTTTCTATTTGAGTGTATTGAGAATCGGTCAGTCTGAAAAGGCCTTGTAGGGAACACAATAGGTTTGTTGTCGAAAATCCAGCGAGAATTATCACTCAAAATATCAGATAGTAAGGAAAAATGCTCCGAAATTCTCTCCCATGTAGAGAAACTTGCAATTTTCTGTACGAACGCAAATTTGCAAGTTTTTCTGCCAGCTAGTGTCCACAGTTGCATTTTAAACAAAAGAAATTTGTATAGAATTTTTAAAATTCTTTCAGAGGGGCAAAAAACAGGATCTACGTGTATATATCCTGTCAGTCCGACTTTCTTCAATATACGTTTCAATTTCTTTGTCGGGTTTACTATATCGACTCTGGTTGAGATTGGATTCCGATTAAGAATACAGTTTTTTTGCCGAGTACCTTTAAAATCATTGGAATTAACTAAATTAATTAAGTAAACAAGCATTAACTTACATTTTTCATTTTAAAATCGCTCCATTTCGTAAATTTTTAAATTTAACGAACTTGTTTATTCAAATTATCGTCGACAAAAAACCCAACCATGTGCCACAATCATATGTTTTTCCTAATTACAAATTCTTGCTGGCAAAATTTTTTCCGACTCGAATTTGTAACTTCTCTCCAAGAAATAGTCATTTTTACTCGTGATTTATTTAAATAAAACATGTGAAATTTAGATTGAAACATTTTAGCCGTTTTTAGCCGGTTTTATTTGCCAATTTAGCCGGTTCGTCCAAAAAGTTCTGGCAACACTGAACTGCAGTCACAATAGAATAAAAACAAAACGAAATGCCAAACACAGTCGATCCGATTGGCTTTCGATTTGTCCAACGCTGTGATTTTGTGTGCGGAGGGATTGTGGACTTTTCGAAGGAAGCTGCGAACTAATTATTTCCAAAAAACTCAGTTAAAACGCATGCAAAAGCATAGAAAAATGGGAAAAAGTGCCGACGAAAGGTGGGTGCAAAATGGCCAAACTGTTTGCCAAGTTCTACCAGAGTTCCAATATTTTGTTATGCAATTATTTGAAAATGGAGGGGAGAATATCATAAAATAATGGATAAAGTGATTTGAGTGTGTGTCGTGCGTTGACGGGATATGGAAGCGATCTGTGTGGCCGGTTGTTATAGGGGCGGTGCAAGTGCGGAGGAGATTGGCGCCTAGAAGTAAATAATTTATATACGACGCCGTCTGATACGTTTACACTGTTTCTGCTTTTGTCATTGCCTATTTGAAGCGGCTTCTATTCTGCGCCTCCCTAAAGCACATCATCAAAAAATATTTAATTGTTTTTGAAAAAATGTATATTTTAGTGCGCTGGTAGTAATATTTAGTGCGTTAAATTGGGGATTACCTACAGCGCTGCCCTGCATGCATGTACCACATTTTTCTGCGGCGACTACTACGCAATATTGTAACCGAGACCTTGAACTCAGACACGCTCGCTTGATACGCCTATATGGTCCTCTGGCTTCCGCAGCCTACAAACAAGGCTAGATTAACTATTTTAATAAGTATTTAATAAGCTTGTTATTGATTTCATTGATATATGCGCAATATTTAGTATGTAAATTTTCGCCACGAATCGATCAATTAGCATAATTGTAGTCACCGATAAGCAATCTTGTTTTTAATCTTTCATAAACCTACATTTACACTTTTTATCTACTATTCAAATTTGATTTTGCTTTTATAATAGTACACCAGCCGCACCTACCTTCCGTATCATTCGTGAAGTCTACGAAAGCACCAATGCACATGAACGCTTTGAAGCTGAATTGGACAAAGCGTTGGAGGCTAAGGTGGACTATATAATAATTGAACCACCAAGGCTCGGCGACGAGACGGGGCGTTGGATAACAGTTGGCAATTGCTTGCACAAAACTGCTGTAGTTTCAGGAGTGGCTTCGCTCATATCAAGTTTGCTTTGGCGGGATCGACCAGTTATCGCCGCTCCTATGTGTGCTGTGTCACTTTTCTGCACGGGTTTATATACAGTATCGTGGAATTATGATCCCTGCTGCCAGTATCAGGTATTGTATGATTAGTAAACAATGTGTCATACAATTATAAACATGAATCCAAAAACATTTGGCTCACTCGGATTTAATGCCACACAACTTTTCCTTACAATTCATATTGCAGGTAGAAAACGATGATGAAATACTTAGCAAATTACCAATCGGAGATGTATCTGCGCCTGTGATCTTAGGCTATTCTCCAAATACCAAAACAAAGTACTTGCATCGCAGCATTACTCTGTTCTCAGCAGCATTCTGTGCATGGCAAATCTGGCGATCTTACAAGTAGCTAGGTTTACCAATGGTCCGCAGTATAGTATGAGGAGAGTTGCATGCAAATTTGTGATTATAAGAAAAGTAAAATGTCAATGAAGCATGATGTACAAAATTAGCATATACATTTTCAAATGCCACACATGTAGTCACGCCACGCCACTATGCTCTCACGACCGCAACCACAACCGTAACCAACAGCAGTACCCAATTATCCAGCACAGATGAAATCGGAGACTCCGCAGCAGCGATAACAACCGGAATAGCTCAGAATGGATCAAGTAAACAGTTGGCAGTTATTGATCGAAAGACATCCCAATTTTTTTCTATTTAATATAATTCACTAATTTTTATTTTATAAATTTTTACAAGTAATAAGAATGAACATAAGTAAATAACGCGCTAGTATAAAAACGAAAGCGAAAATATGTTTGGGATTAATTTGGATGTTACACACTTAGACAACATTTGGTCATTGGCATGGAACTTTTAGAGAAAAGAATAGTAATTTTTTTTTTGGTATATTCCAAAGTTTTGCTTAGCTGAAAGTTAAAATGGTTGAAAGGCAAATTTTTAAATTTTTATATTTTACTTCGCTTTTAAAAACTATATATGTATTTGCTATAACGCTGTGTTCCTACTGTATCTTTATGAGCTCTTTTTTCACGATTATGCCATAAAGTGAGTATGGAATTTCCTCGGTCATCTGCATTATACTTACCATTTTGTGTAAAATAACCGGCATTCAGCTGCAGGAAACTACATTCTCATTGAATAATTTTGTATTGTTTTATTCGTTTAGGTTATAAAGCCAACTAAAAAGTAAATAAGTATAAACAAAAAAAAATCCAAATAAATGTTTAGTAATAAAACGATAGATGCAATTTCGGAATCGACTTTTAGAAGATAACTTGTGTTAAAAAAAAAAAAAAAAAAATTGTTGCAATTGTAAAATATTCAAAAGTAGCGAAGACAAAGTCAAACGCCATAAAACTGAAGAAAAGTATCTAAATACACACTAATATATAAAATAAAAAAATGAGCTAACTACAATTGAAAAAATTAGTATGCATTTTTTAAAGCTTACGATAAAACAACTATGG